CACCGTACTAACAACGGATGAATCAAGGAAACTTGTATACGTTCAGGATGCAAGGATTGGTGCTGCTCGACCTTTTAACGCTGTGCAAGTTAAGCAAGCGCTATTTGACGTCGGAGACGACATCAGTAAACCTAGCGCACTCCTTCATGATGGACCTCGGAGGGGCGCTAAGCAAGTTTGGAACGACATCTGTTGAGGCTGAGACTACGACTGATGTTCTCCTGACGGAAATAATCACCCGTGGTGATCCGAGAGCGTCTTCTCCCGAGATGACCGCCGCCAAGAAGGCCGAAAGCAAGAACCTGCTTGAGCATGGTACATTCGAAGTGATACTCAAGGAGGAACTTCCGCCGGACGGAAACATCCTCCCTGGTCGCTTCGTACTTGCCATCAAGTCTACAGACGATGGAAAGATCAAGTACAAAGCCAAACACGTCATCGGTGGCCATCGTGATAAGTACAAAGACTTCATGGTGCATTCTACCTCCACCCTGCAGCCGCAGTCATTAAGACTCCTTCTTGCTCTTGCCGCAGTCTTTGAATTCGACATATGGACTTCAGATGTGAGGCAGGCGTACCTTCACTTCGCTGAACCGTTGGCTAGAGACATTTTCATCCGAAAGCCCGTTCAGGAGTTTGAATTGGATCCGTCACAGTGCTTGAAGCTCCTCAAGCCCCTCTACGGCTTGTACGAGTCGGGAGACTTATGGCATGAGACCTTTGCTAAACACCACCGTGAATAATTAGGAATGAAACATCTTCGTTCCGATCCTGCCCTATACACGCTCATGAAAGATGGGCTGCTCGAAGGACTATCCGGTAGATATGTAGATGATCTAATTCGCGCTGGCGACAAGCACTTCAAGCAGTTATCACAAAAGACGAACGCTCGATTCGAAATGTCGGAGGATCAGACTTTGCTGTGTTCGTTCACTGGTTTCTCGCTGTCAAAGAACGAGAACGGCGAGGCAGTACAAGACCAACACGAATACCTCCAGAAACTGGAACAACTACCGCTCGAGGCTAGCTATTCACAGTTTAGATCGATGCGCATGAAGCTAGCTTGGCTTGCGAATACACGTCCGGACTGCTTGTTTGAGATCTCGAAGCTCGCTCAGGTGACAGAGGAGATGTTCCTGCAGGACTCCAAAAGAACTTTGCAGAGATTGAACAAGGCTGTTGCTTTTGCGATCGATAATCGCATCCCACTGCGAATTGCAAAGCTAAACCAAGAGTCTCTCCGAGTAATAGGTTTCGCCGACGCTTCATTTGCAAATAATGCAGACCTCTCAACACAGCTTGGTCACGTGTACTTCATCGGCGATGACACAAGAGCAGTTGTCCCTATCTCTTTTAAGTCATACAAGTCGCGACGTGTGACCAGGTCCGCCATGGCCGGGGACGTTATCGACTTTAGTGATCTATTCGACGTTGCTGCCGTCCTCGACGCTGAACCCCAGGCATTGACAGGAGTCAAGGTCCCGGTTCAGCTTCTCACGGACAGCAAGAATCATTTCGATGTCATTTCGAAAGGGTCTAGGACTTCCGAGAAGAGAATGATGTTGGACATAGCTGCGGCAAGGGAAGGTTTCCGAGACAAAGTCATATCGGAAATTGGCTTCGTGCGCAGTGCTAGTAATATTGCGGACGGATTGACAAAGCCGATGCAGCAAAGGTCGTTGCAAAACATGATGCTGTCTGGGCGACTTGATGTGACTCCTAAGCAGTGGATTGTCCACAACTAAAGGACAGGAAATGCATTTACTTGGGCGTAACGATCGCGCTGGGACACTAACTTGCGGACTTCGCCGATGCAAAGGGCTGTCGCTGCCTCGCTACCGCACTTACGCAAGAGGCATTCGCTGAGCCGCATCGGAAAGTCTTCTGCGCTGTCAATGACAAGCGTACGGCTTGCATGGACGAAAAGTGTATGGGATACGAGGTTAGGCTGAAATACGTGCACGATGTACACCCTGCTGTCACGGCTCGCTAAGCACGCAAAAGGATTCTCTTTAAACACTTTTGCATCGCATTTTGGGATCTTGCGCACCTCGAATCCGGTTGCCAGTTCGTGAAGAAGAAGAGTCGGCTCACGGATCTTTAGAAAATGAGGGCTTTCCTCAAAACAATACTCGTTCACCGCATTAGCAACTTGACGTCCGGCAACAATATCCAGGGCGTTCGTGATTGCGGCTGTCATGCAGTTACCGTCATTCTGCTTAACAAAAACGTCCCCATACTCAGTGACGAGGTACTGCTGTACTCCACGGGTTCCAGATCGCTACCCAGGGCCGCCAAAGGAGATCGTGCAACCAGGATTCTCCGCTAACCATGTTAAGGCGACGGTCTTGAGCCTCCTGCGAACATAGGTGTGATTATTGCGCTTCTTGCTTGGAATACTGACGCGAGGAACAGGGCGCTGAGTCTTCTTCCTGGCTGCCTCTGTGACCGGGCGAGTAAGCCAGTTCCCCCTTTTGACCGCCACGAGTAGACAAGATAATCGTTTGAGAATTTATTTCGTAGTACGACTCGACCCCGCCATCAATCCGTGCGCTCCCATACCACGTTTTTCTCCGCAGCGTCATGCCATTTGATGCCATTTCGCTATCGCCGCACACGATAGACTCGATATTGAACGTTTCCCCGGTCTCAGCACTCATGCGCTGCGCACGACCCGTGAAATAACCTCGCTTGGGTCTCGGCGTACTCACTTCGTCTGTTGCGAACTTCACACTGCTGCGCGTGATCATCTTACCACGTTCGCCCTCACACTGTACTACACGCACATTAGTTCAAAGGATGCACTATGTTGCCTGAGCGCTAAGGTGAGTCAAGTTCCCCTCACCACATGCCGCACAGCGATCAGGATTCGGAGGGTCGATGGTGTGGACGAGGCGTCCGATCGGAGAGAGTGTCGTTGATATACACTCTGCATGCTGATTTCCGTTCACCGCCGACCGGTACTGTAGACCTAATTTTGAGTAAGTTTTTGCCACGTGCTATTTAATTTATTCAGAATTTAGGATCGAACTGAGCGCGCCGTCGAGCACTCGACGGACACGCTCGTCGTCCCCACATAAGCGGCAAGTGAGGCATGATTAGAGAGAGGGACAGAATAGAAGTCAGAAGTAAACCATCCGCTTGGTCGTCTTCGCTAGCTAAGGTGCTCCGCCTAGTCCTTCTTTCTGCCCCCTCCCCCTCTCTCCTTCCTATTCCTCCTTTTGTCTCCGACCCATCCCGCGCGGGCTCCGCCACACGTTAGCTTGTGCTCACGTGCAGCTTCGCGCGAGCCTGCGAACCGGGTTCAACGACACTACCGCTGTGGCTGTACGAGTAGGATGTGCGGGCTACTTCTCAAGATACGTACAGTACGTAATACTGATGACCCGCAAAGAAAAATCGATGAAATTCTGAAGGCAGAGTCTATGCGGTTCAGATGATTGGTTCACGCTGCATACGAGAAGATCCCCAAACCGAATCGGCGAAGCCGCATGATTTTTGTGGTCCCTCGCCACGAATGAAAGCGTGATGTATGTCGGCACCACATGCCCACGTGTCTGTCCCACGTCATCCACCTTTTGTTTTCTAGTGCTCCTGTCATCTTAATTGCATTTCGGCCTTGCTTGTAGCTTCATGCGATTCCCTTCACCATGGCCAAACAGCCTTAGAGTAGTTAAAGAAGCTCTGGTTTTCATGCAATAATCAATGAACGACACTCCTGCCACCGCTCCGGACACCTCGTTTCGACTTGAAGTTTTCAGCGAGCTGATGCAGTGGAAGAAATGAATTATGCGCTTCCCTTCGCATTACATGCAGTCTCATGCGCCATGCATCCGCCCCGGATACTCATTCTCATTACTGTATGAGAGTGGGTAACCGAGGCGGATGAATGGCACATACAGTATGAGGGTCTCATATAACCGAATAGTGTGTCTTCTCATCTTCTCATCTTCATCTTCCATCTTCTCAAGATTCTTCCCTTCCCCTGCAGTATTGATGCTTCCAACAATCAATTTCTCGTTCAGATGCAGACGCCATGAAACTTGGACCGAAGACCGACAAGTGCTTGACTCTAATTGCAGCACGCAGATCGATTCAAGTGTTTCTGGTAGGAGGCCGTTGTTTAGACCTCGCGTGATTTCAAGGTTTGACGAATAGTAGCATTTGCAGGACTTTCCACCTGCTTTGGAAGGACTAATCTCATGCTTTGTCTTGCAGTTGCATTCTCACTCTTTCCGAAACCCATTGGTCAAAAGATCATGTCAGTCCACAGTCCAAAAAGTTCTTATGGGCCGTTTCCACTGCAATTTCTGACGCGGGGGAATGCCCGTCGGGTTCAAATAGTAATACCAGTGCCATCCACAACTCTTCCATGTACAGTACCAGATATAGCATCCGTATTGTATGTTCTTATTTTCCTCTTCAATGGCAGCTAGCAGGGGGAGGACGTGTGCACGGGGTATGGCTTCCAAGCAGAGATATACATCGTTTGGCGCGTTGTTTTCAAACAAGTTTCCCCGTAATGTAAAGGCTTGTATTGACGTTTTATGCATACTTTCTCAGTAGCAAAAGAACAAACAAGGCTGGGCTTTACAGCTACATGAGGGGAGGAAGCAGCATGCACGGATACTGTATGAGACTGTGTCACATTCTCTCCAGAGAGATAATAATGAGACAGTTTCGGTCACTGTGTGCGCCAGTGTGAGAGTGGCTCACGGTGGGCAGTGTCGTGGACACGTGATGCTTAAAAAGAATTAAAAGTTCGGGTGGAACACGTGGCGCCAATCAGCTATCAACGCACTTCATTCACATCGCGTCCTCCCAAACAAAGCTCAATCTCCCAATAACTCCAAAGGCGCTTGAAATCATCCTCACCTTTGCTCACCCTAACACTTCATCCCGCTACAAGCGTCCCTCCACCCCCTACCCCCCCTTACTTCCTTTCTGCTTAGTTCCATCTCCCTCCTGGGACATAACCCCCTCTCTTTCTCTTCTCCGAAATGACCATATGCAACGCGTGTGGAATATCCCCGGCCCTATGCGGTCCGGCAGAACTCTCCCACCTCTGCCGCACGTGTCGCAATACACGTCCAGACGCACCACAGAAGCGAGTAAACTGCTTCGCTCGTTCACGACATTCTTCGAATCGCACCCGCATTCCTCCCTCCATTCCCCCTCTTACTTCTACGCCCACTGTTCGTACCGAACACTCACAATCAAAAAACGTCCCAGCTCAACTTTCAAAAGACCTACTCACACAGGCCAACTCGAAAAAAGGTAGCTCCACTGCCAACACGTCCTCCCCTTCCTCCTCCTCCTCTTCCGACGCGGACAACCGAACACAAACTGCCTCCCTCACTTCTTTACCCCCTCCTCCAAAACCACTCGCACGAACCATTTCTATAGGCACTGAACTGGTAGAACTCCGAAAGAAAAGGCTTCGGCTTTCATCCCCAGCTCGTCGCCAACTCCCCTTGAGTTGCGGTGAGTTGGATGTCACGATAGAAGACTCCCTGTCCAAAGACTTCAGGGACCATAAACTAACTGACGAATCTCGACTCTATCCTGGCTTCGCAACGCTCACTTCAGACCCTCAAAAGGGGAGGCATTGGCCAGGACGAGATATCGTTCTTGCAGTTCGCAACGCTCTTCTTCTCGGAATGGACCCTGTTTTTGAAACCTCTACTCTTTCAAGGAAACGGCATCGTCTTGCGAATCATATCAATGAGAGGCAAGTCCGTCGTCGAAAGAAATATGAAGCACTTCAAACTATCCCGGCTGAGATGGAAACGACTCACTTGCCGCCAGAACTGCGCAGCTCTTTCAATAACTCTCACAAAAGCCCTGTTGCACAAACTGTTCGCCATTCCCAACACAGCTACGTCCGAACGCAGGCTCCAGACCGCGTGGAACAGCGAAATATTACGATTAAGAGGCCAGCGACAAAGTTAGTTCAAAATCTGCGGTCACTATCGGCGTGGCCTAGAAGTGCACCGAGGGAGAAGCCTTCATCTCGAAAGCCACCTTTGCCGAAGCAACACATCCCTACCTCCAACTATGTCCATCGAGATAACAAAATCCAAACCGGCCGTGCTTCACATCCGGGTGTGATGAGTCGGCCGAGCGCTGGCTTAGCTTTTGATCCAAGTACACCACTACCAGTCGTGCGACCAATTGGTAAACGTCAGGTCCCAAACAAAGAAGCATTTCGGCCAAAACCACAGCAAACGCCGCTAAGTTTGCGTGCGGCTTTCCCACACCAATACCAACGTTCTCGTCCGCAAGAGTTGCAACAAGGACCAAACAACTCACAGTACCGAGCACTGCCCTTAACTTCGTGGCCACAGCCTCGAAACATTCCTCGTTTGAGTAGCTACACCTTTGCCTCTGTTTTCCCGAGGAGAGAGAAGGGCCATGCATCAGGGGGTGCACCTTTCGCACCTCAAACTCCACCCAACGGTATTTTCAACAACCAGGTACGACAAGAGATTGCTGGATGGCGTGATTTAAGACCTTGCAAGCCTCCTCGACCGAAACTCTTTCCGCCCAGTTCAAGTGGCCGCGTGGAGCCTCTTGAAAGACGTCAAATTAACGCACGTCTTTTCTCCCATCAGCAGGATTGGAACAAAAGAGAAATGGGTCGGGGCTCACGACCTAGCCCCTACAGAAGCGATACATCTACTCTGCGGACCTCCGTCATTCCTAATCGAATCCCACAGAGGAAATTAGTCTTTTCGGGACCTACAAATGTGTTACACGGAGGCTCGGAACCTTATCCAAGACCACGGAGGCCACAGAAATCATCTTTGGATACGAAGAGGAAGCAGCTCTTGACACAACGGTTACTGGAGGTCAGGAAGAAGAAAGCTGAGAAAATGGCAGAAGCTAAGCACTGTGTAAAGCGCACTATTCCTGTAAAATCATCTCATAGAATGGGCGAGGTTGAAGCGGGCAGGGCCCGACAAGGAAGTAGCCGTAGAAAAGATGGAAGTTTTCCGCGGGAGAATTTCCGCAATTGCACGCAAAATGATATTCACGGACCGTTTTCGCCAGTTACATCTTCTGGAGAGCGGATGAGAACATCTTTTGTTGAACCGCGCCATAAGTGGAAAGAAAGGCTTTCACGGCAAGTGCCGACTCCCAACCGAAGACAAGGCCCTCAGAATACATCGTCTGATATGCGAAACGATGTCTGCAACCCAGATGCTTTCGTGCTTGCACAAGGCAGTGCTAAGACATCTTTCGCCACGAAGGAAATGGCCTCCACACGTCCGAGCGTTTCTCTACGTAAAAGTTTCGGAAAGGAACGCCCAGTCGGCGAAGCCAAAACCCAAATGGCACGTAGATGGGCTACCTCACGAGATAACGAGAACAAGTTGCAGACTGCTGTGCAGACGTCAGGCGAGAGTGGCCCAAAAGAGCCAGTAGTCGTGGTCGAACGAGATAACCTTTCCCATAGCGCATATGATGTTATATCTGTCAAGTCCCTGCAAGAGCGAAATACTGCGCCGGCATCACTACAAAAGGTACTAACTTCAAAATCAGTCTCGAGAGACGTTAGCAGTGCAATATTCAGCTCACCTTGTAGCGTCAGTTCTCCATCACGATTAATGTCATCGCCGGTCTCTGAAGCTACCCGAAAGAAGACTGCAATGGTAGACTTGGAAGCAACTGCGAACGCAATTCCAGTGCATGATGCGGGCCGCACGCAACAGGACATCATCCGCAACATAGTTTCAGCCCCCGAAAAGAAAAAAACGTTTATTGTTAAAGCATCTTGCAGGTATGGCTGGGCGAACAGTACGCGGCGTCTATCGGTCAGTATGAAAACGGCGTTTCCTGCGTTCAAGACTCGTTTGGGAGACGCATTTGATATGATCAAACCCTTCACAATCACATACCGAGATGAAGAAGGGGATTTCGTCAAAGTATCGAGTGAGGCCGAAATGGCTCATCTGCTCAATATGGCAGGTAGGCATGTGAGACCAGTGCAGGTGAAACTTATTCCACCACACGGACTTTTCAAGACGAGTGAGTAGGCGGTCAACTAAAAAGGGCATTTGTCGAATTCTATATGTGCCGGTTCATGACACAAATCGAAGAAATTATGTCTCCGTACACAAGCGCTTATTTTCAACTGCAAGAACCGCTGACCTCCAGAATCTGATAGGACGAGAGGGTGGTGGTTCGGCGCGACGTCCTGGCATAGCTCAACTAGTTACTAGAATTTGATCATAAGGGTGATTGTGCGACTACGACGAACCCTGGGGTGGCATCTGAAGTAGAGCAGTCCATTTGGCCAGAATTTCACGGTCAGTTTGGAGGCTGCGGAGTCATTCTTGCAGAACCAATCCTGGTTGAGTCCTATTGCACGTCACTGTCTTCAAAGGCACTGTCACATATAATCAATCTGGGAGCGAGGGGAATAGGGGTCAAGAAACGGTGTAAAGACTGTGGGAGAAGATGTGTGACAGTTGCTGATGTCGGAAAGCAGAGTTTCCGCAACGATTCTATTCGGGAATCTCGGTCTTTTTATCAGATTGCTGGTGGTCCTTGCTGGCACCGCCGCATTATTTGCGAAATGATCCAGCCAGTCGCTATGTCTTGAGAGCAGTCATCCCTGAGCTGCTGAGTTTCCGTCTTCAACGTCACGGTTCTTTCGGTTGCCTCGTCAAAAATTACTTACGCAAGACTTCGAGCTGCATGGAATGTATCTGCCGCTTCAATGCTGGCATGTGGATCTTAGATTCAAAGCTGACCCAGCGAAGAGTCCGTGTGTGTAGTCATCTGCAGTACCGAGGAAGACTTACCTGAGCAGGGCCACATCCATCCCTCTCGACAGTGCCGACAGAAATACAGTACTGTAAGAACGCTATAAGCGCTGTGAGTTGCGAAACTCAGAATCGTGATCAGGGGAAAATGTAGATCGTAGATAACAGAAGGAGAGAGCTATAATATCCAAATTCCTCTGCCATAGTTGCAATCGCTCTCTCTATAAAGGCGGCCTTGCTAGAACTGCGGCATATGAAGAAACACATTTTAATGTACTACCCTTGGGTAGTCGTCCACCTATTATATATTGGGCCAGGGATAGGGCTGATTATCACCCGCATCGGGTGTTGCATAGAGCTTTATTGGGGATGGTTTGAGGAAAGCCCTATCAAAGCATAATCTGCATAGACGCACAGGGCGGCGTATTTGTCCATAGCACCACCGTTACATTCTGTTACGGTGGTCGAAGTCGAACTCTGAGCGCACCTTGCTTTCCCTTTGCCAAATCAAACATTGGTCGCATGTCCGAATCTTCGGAGATACCTATCTCATCCCCGTCGTCATCTACGTAGCAGACAGTGAATGCAACACCATCCATGTCAAAAATCTCACACAGCACTTGCTTAAAAGACAAGAATCGCAGCCCGTATGCGACAGATACGAATCGTCGCTGTGTCTGCCACCCGTAGGTACAAGATGCTTTGACTCCGAAGCTCATCGCACGCGAGCGCAGAGCTTCGATGAAAGGACCCGATTTTAGCAAACTTGGCGAGAGGGGAGAATGGATGATTCCATGTGTCCTCAAACCAGACTCTCTGCGGGTGTTCGTGTTCCCTGGAGCACCTTGTGCTTGTCGAGAAGTTGGCACGAACGCTTCGCCAGCTGGACGACCCCGGTTTCGGTCGCCCTGGCTACCGGATTTCTGTAACTGCCCTGATACATCTATATCGCTCTCCGCTGTCGTTACATGCTCCGTGGATTGCCCATTGATCTCCGATACAGCCTTTCTCAAGCGTCTCGGACGCGATGGAGGCGAAGTTGGAGGATTGTTCAGGCCAGAAATGTGCACCACTCTTCCCCGAAGTTTGAGCTGCCTGACTTCCAATCCCAGTTCTTTGGCCGCATCAGATTCGTTCTCCACGACATCGTCATCATCTTCATCGTCATCAATGCTTTCATCCCTGCTCCCAGAGTCATCGTCAGCCTCTTTTTCGCTGTGCAACACATTCTCCAGGTGCTTCTCAGCTTTAACAACAGCTGCCTGGTTCTCTTCACGGGCTCGACCAGCCGCATTGAGTGACGGGTCCCAACTAGGTTCCGTAGATCTTTCCTTAGTGCCCCTTTTCTCCCGATCTGCTCCCCTTATAAGCTTTCTTGGCCTATGCGAGGGCAACGATTCGTGTTCCCGTTTCTTTGCTGTCCTCACCCGAGGCTGGGTCGGAATTCTTTTGTTGTTGTTATTGTTGAAGCCGACGGCCACGACTTTCTCGTACCCTGGGGTTGGCCTAGCTGTGATAATACCTGAGCGTGAACGCCATAGTCGTAACCTGCAATCCGTTAATCGCTTGTAGCAAGTGGCGCATAGTGTCGTTTGGCCATCTGGACCGGGGTATAAGTTGGAGTTGTCATTTCCGCAGGCTACGCAAGCCTCTGCGCTTCCTGAGGAGATGCCTTTGGCAAAAGGGCGTCTGCAGAGGTTCTTCACGACGGGTCTTGCTTCGACGATTGGACTCAGGAAGTCGTCGCGGTTGGGTAAAAACTGCCTCGTGTTGAAACCAAGATGTCGTGCAGGAGTTGACCCTGCCGAGGGTTGGACTGAAACCCCGGATGGAGACATGTGTAAGCGGAGACGACAGTCACGATATGAATTGCTGCAAGGCTTGCACAAGGTTCTGAACCCGTCGGGGCCTGTAAAGCGTGAGCTTGATGGGCCAGGACACGAGCAAGACAGGCACGCCCTGGGCATAGCGTTCCTGACAAAAGGCCTGAAAGAGAAAGCAGCGCCCGTTATTAGCGAAAGGAAATTTGCGGAAGCGGGACAGCTTTGGTTTGGCGTAAAAGGGTGCTTGAAGGAGCCCTGCGCGAGCAGGGCGCTCCTGTTCTGTAGATACTGTGGGAACGATCACCCGAGCTCGTTCGCCCTGACATAGACTAATATCTTTTTTTTTTCTTTAGCGTATGCTCTCCGTGAATCACATCCACATTTTGAAGCCTTCTTTTTCCCCCGACGCACCCGCGCGAGTTTATATAATCTCTGATCCCCTCTGTCTTCGACAACCTTCGATACTCTTGGAGCAACCCGTAAACAGCACATCCCGAAACAACCGCAACTGGAAGCCGAAGCGCTGTTTATGCTGAAGATCAATCAACAGCGCTGATCCCCACTAGATACTGAAACGAAAACCCCTTGCTTGTAACCGGGCCTGGCGCTGCTTCCACTTCCACGAGTGCCGTTTGCCCACTCTGGCATAGAAATCTATGACATCCTAATGTGAGGTCAAGAACGCGTTTCTGTACAGTATCCCCTGCACATCCTCATACTTCATTGATGTCCTCTGGTGGCGCTTCAAACGCAGTCTTATACTGTTATATCCGACACCGCATTCTTCCTTTCCGCTTTCGTCGCTGATCTCCGCCCGGAAGGCCTCCGGATGGCAACCACCCCCTCACATATTGGGCTTGGCGAGATGCACACAAAGAGTACACATGAATTACGTTAAGTACTTTACTCCAGAAACAGGAGCTGAACATGGCTATCTCAGCGCTAGACAGGATGAATCATAACCATTACGGCGATGTAGCTAATGCTTTCGCGAGGTCATCAGTGCTGGTGTGGCTGCGTAAAGTAGCAAAAACAATTAGGATGGGGTGTGGGTTGGGGGCAAATGATGCCGTAGCGGTCCCATTGGTGACAGCTGAACTCGGGGTCACCAGTTTACACGTCAGAGAAGCGGACAGTCCAGACCTGATAGTGCTACCAGGAGGCGCGGCGCTCGTGAATGGTAACAAAAACGGTTCGAGGACGGGATGCATCGATCAAAGTTGGCTGATCAAAGGATTTAGAGAAACGCTATGAGTGTGGTTATAAACAAATCATCAACTGAGCACTGCAGAATTCTAGCTATGGCAAAGTACAACTGTTCTGTAACTATTGCGACACACATGAGAATGCTTTCAAAGAGAAAAGTTGGGATTTTGAGAGGAGCAAGTACACATGCTTTTGCGACCGAAATGCGCCAGTGGGATGTCGGTCTGGTGCTATCGATTCGAGGTACAGGGGCGCAGAATGCTACAGTAGCTATGCTCGCCTCTCTACTGTCTTGATAACTTGCCCAATCTCTAATTCTCATGCAACGCGACTACAACACACGCGACACATTGACTGACACGTCGACATTTTACATCATGATGAACGCTGATATTCACAGGGAGCGCGGGACCGAAATTGTCACGCGACGAGCCGTATTCGTAGAGGAATCAAGGAAACAGGGTCTGCAGCCTCAAACAGCTTGTATAGCTTTTCGTTAGAAGCAACTCTCACAAACCGGTCCTCATCATCCTGATACGTAACCGAAAAAAGAAAGCCTCGTTTGAAGCCAAACACAGCCCGGATCTCTCTCTTAAACTGCTCGAGCAACACGTCAGCACGGATGCGAAACCTTCGTATGTCGCCGCTCCATTCGACCTTGACATAAACGCCGTCGCCTTCGCCCAACCCTACGGATAACGAGCGAGGAACGCGACGTTGCTCATTGCTCAACGTGTAGCCCTCCGGGGACGGCAATGAATAGTTACCCGAGATGCTGCGTGGCTTCTTTCGAGGTGGTGTCCGCGGGGGTGGCGTTCGAGAGGGCACACGCCTGCGCTTGCGGATCTTCGTCTGGACATTACGCAATGCATGTTCGTTGGACAGCAGGGCTTGATCTTCCGGGGAATCGGTGAGCGGGGTGACGATAGGTCGGCTCAAATCACGTCGCGCTTTACCGCTGCTCGATGAGGGCCGGAGCCTGAAGCTGGTGATGCGCATGGGACATGAGCCTTCGGTCCTGTTGATAGACAAAGAGCCATAGATATTTTGAAACAGGGGCAAGATGCCCGCGGAGTACATGCCATAGCAAGGGGTGCAGAGGGTCAAACGGCCGTCGGGGGAGCAGCCCCACTGGTTGCCAGGCGGCTGTGTGGCACCACAGATGGCGCGGATGCACTCGTGTTGACCAGAAGGGCGAGCGGTGGCGGGGGAAAGGACAGGGAGGTTGGGTGGTGGGGAATGAGAGTTTGTTGAGTTGTCGTCGAAGGTTTCCTTTTGAGGAGCTGGTTGGTAGCTTGTGTAGAGAGACGGGTCCTCGTCGTCAGGCTGCGATGGGAGATGAGCACGAGGTTCGTCGTCGGTGTCTGGGGCCGGTTCTTGGTCGGAGTTCTCGTACATGGGCTCGACGTGGACGACTTCGGTGTCGTGGTGGGGCTCTTCTTGGGGAGAATAGGAGTGGGGTTGATCGTGGTCGTAGTACTGGTCGTATTTTACGTGTTCGACTTCGTCGGCAGGATGTTGCTCCTTGTCTTGTTGGTGGGCGTACTGAAAGTCATCGTCTTCGGGAGGGAGGGTGGGAGGTTGGAGCGGAGGATCGTGTTCGTCATCCGGGTCAGTTTGCATAGTAGGTTGGTCATCGTCGTGGATGTCGTCGTGATGTTGCTGGTCGACGTGGACAGCGGCATAGGTTTGGTCATCAGCATATATGTCTTGGTTGATATCGTGTTCCCGTTCGAGTATGACCTGAGCCATCAGGGGCGAAAATGTCGTAACGATACGGTGACGGTGAGCGGCGATGCAGTTTGGAAACGGATGAGTGTGATCGGAAGATGACGCGACGGGGCATGAGATTCTTGATGGTAGAAGTTGGGATGTATGAGCCAAGAGGTGAGCGATGAGGGAGAAGGGCTGAGAGAGCGGGAGATAATGATACCCAATCGTACTGCTGTAGAAGCAAGACGGGTTGGAAAAGGCGCTAAGGATAGTTAAAGAAGCGCACGCAGTTCAAAATTTTTTTCTCTAAAACTAAGTTTTTGAAGCTGAATCACGTTCCATCTCCCGCGAAAACATCCCCACCCCCATTGGATCCCAAAGCCCGACCTCCGGATCTTGGCGCATCTAATTGACTCACGGTGCAATTGAGGAATGCGTATAACCTCTCATGCACTCCAGTTGCGCGTGTACACGTGTTTCCAAATATTGTCCCGATGAGATCTCTGGAGATCAAAGCAGCCCTATTCTGGCCAAGTGTGGTGGTGTCATGATTTGTAGTGTCTATCGGACCGTTAGTCCTCAAATGAGGACAAAACTTGTTCTTTTATTTTATTTTCTAGACAAGCAAATTCGCTATTTCACTTCTATTTTTTGAAACAAGAAGGCCACCGCCACAGGTAAAGCATTTGCTTTGTCGATTCTAGTGAAAACCAACTCGTTGCTGCATTTAATAAACCCGCAAGTAAAATAACTTCGAAACCAAAAACGCCATTTAAAAAAGGCAACTTGACTTGGTACTCAATCTGCATTATATTCTTAAGCTTTCTGCGTATCCAAAGCTGTGATCCCGGTGTTCTGCAAGATGCTATTGCTAAAAACAAACACGGTAAGGAAATAGTGCTCAAGGTAGCTTTTTGAATGTTCAATTTAATTTATATATTTTTGCAAAAAAAGAGCCGTCCTCATATGGGAAGAAGCCCCGGTCGGATAGACACTAGATGACTGACCTCTCAACTGACATACTCAACTTGCGCTTCCTCAAAAGAAGGAGAAAGATATTTTCACTGTCGCAGTTGACTTTTACGTTGCGAAGGGACAGAGTTGGTGAGATCGGCAGGTTTTTTCCAGCCAACTTTAGAATGCCTAAAGAAGACGCCTTTTTAAACCAACCTCAAAATGCTATTTGTTGATATCTTCGCAACCAAAACGCCTGTTTAAAATGTCAACCGGGTCTTGAAGCTTTATTAGATTCTTAGTATTTCGGTGTATTCAGAACTGCTGTCTCAACGTTTTGCAAGACGTTATTGTCGAGGGTTATACGTTAAAGAAATGGTGTCCAAACTGACTTTATAAAGTTTCGATTTAATGTATATATTTTGCAAAAATAGCGGGCCTCATATGAGACAAATCGCTTGTGGTCTCCTCCCCTCTCTATACATACAATAGACCCGCTCTTGTGATGGGTCAAATAAATTTAGAATGACCAGTGCTTGATCTCCACTTGTCATGATGGCGCATTAGATCCAACTGAATAGACTCACACCGAGGGAGATGCCGTAAGGCGTGCGACGCAAAGCTTCTCTGCAGTTGTTGCCCTCTCTGATAAAGTCAATCTATGACTGATGAAAACTAGCGCTTCGTGGTTAGTTTAACACCTAAGTGTTGAGCGAAAGTGCTGCATTTCGATGCATACAAATATTAAATGTAGACCAGGCGACAGTGAAGTAAGCATTTTTAAACGTAGTGTATGATAGTGTTATTTGTGGTTTCTGTTAAGGGCATCGAGAAGTGCCCAGAGGTTGGATGCTATGGTCACTTGGCTTTGAAGACATACAGGGGCCATGATGGGATGCTCTACTCTGACAACCTCGAAACTTTCGGTGTATCAATTGGTGATGATGATCCGATACCGGTTTTACTGAGGCCGGTGGCAAAACACAAAATTTTACAGTTCGAACTCTGTTCGAATTCCGACCTCCAAATTGAGGGGGAACCCTCCATTCCACACCCACCCATTAGGATACCCCAACTCCCTCTAAATCACCCACATACCGCATAAAGCCATTTTTTGGCTATTTAAACTCTTGATTTTATTATTGCTTTGACATTTTCCGAATTGTGCCTTGATATGAAAAAATACTTTATTAAAAAGAGAGAGGCATGCCAAGCCATTTTGTGCATGTCCCCTCTTACACAACTTGCTATTAGCAGAGCAAGTATTGACGCAGCTTGAGAATGCAAAGAAGCTTGCGGAGTGCTGGAGAGTCTGATCATCCCGGACTTAGGAACGGGTCTCAGGGCCGTTTGAGAGAGTGCTCTATTTTCTCTCCTGTTCATACGCGTCGTGACATGCCACCCAATTGGCCAACCTCGATATCCAATCATAAACGCTAAGGGCGTTCACAGCACGAAACCGCAAAACAGCTGATACTGTACAGCAATATACGCTGCAGTGATCCTTTTGTAAAGTGACATTTCCTCGGCAGCAAGGATACATGTGAGTTCATATGATTGCCTCTATACCGTAGTAACCAGTGTTGGGCGGGCATGGTGTCTACCCCTTGCCTCGAGGGGCAAGGGACAAGGGTAGGGCATATCGTTGACCTTGCTGCGGCAGCAAGGGGCAAGCTTGACTTGACACTTGCCCTCTGACAAGGGTCAAGGCCCCTTGCTGCGGGCAAGGGCATGCCCTGTGGGGCAACCAAAAAGGCATGGGGCTCAACAAGGGTCCAAGGAAAGGGGCAAGGGGCTCAAAAAATGGGCAAGGCGCAAGGCATGGACCTTTCGTCGGTTTGTACTAGGGCTAACAATAAGATTGGATATTGGAACAAATGAACCATCGTTGAAGGGAGTCGGGTCGCGGTTGGTCATGGTCGTGGTAGTCAAAGGAAAGTACTCTCATTATCTACATCGATATCCTTGATCTCATTCAATTCCTCCTCCAACTTACCTCTAACCCTAAAACCCCTAAAGCCCTCTCCGGGTGCGTTCGGAGCAAATACTTTCCTTACAGCCTCTGGTTGTAGGTTGCCCGCATATTGCGTGAATAATCAGCTTGCAATACACACACCGATGAGATCCGCCAACGATTTGTGCTCCATTGAGACAGCATTGTGAATCGCAGCAGTCAAAAGTAGACATTGGACCGCAGAGATTGATACTGATGAGGGGAGATCGAGCGTGAAGCAGTATGGGCTGAGGCGATACTTTGACACTCGCCGTCTCGATACTTTGAGTGAGTATCCTACAGTATGAATAAGGGATGGGGCAAGGGGTGGGGCAAGGGTAAAATTTTTTATACATGCCCCGCGTACAAGGGAAATGCAACAGACCATGCTGCTCGTACAAGGGTCAAGCTTCGCCCTTGCCCTTGCCCGCGGGGCAAGGGGTCAAGGGTCAAGCATGCCCGCCCAACACTGGTAGTAACCCGTACGTTTCTTCTTTCATTTCGGCATGCACGACTGTTTCCAACAAGACATGTTGGCAACAGTGGCATCGAGGACAACAGTGGCCCTTCTTTGAGTTGATCCAGGATAATAGACAGCTTTCCATGTGCCATCAGAGTGCGTTGCCTTTTTGCATCCAGACCTCGTCAAAATCGTGCAACTGTGGAGATTGTCCTTTTCATGACAATCAGCCGGCTCTCTTATCAGATTGATTCGCTCCGGATAAAGCGGACTTCAGAGAATTTGTCGGCCCGACGAAAAGTGTTAACGTCTGCAACGTACAGTATTATCACCTATACTGGCAGACGGAGGACCCTTCAAAAGCACAGCTTCGAGCTCGATCTGTCTCCGCACAGTGTCAACATCATGAGGTGAGATGTTCACTTACAAGTTTGAAATAGATAGCCTTTATTCTCGTTCTGCAAAGACCATATCTGTATCGCAGCACTGTTATCCGATGAAAAAAGGCACGCCTCGTCAGGCCTGCAATTCTTCATCCCGCACCTCCAACAAGTGGCAATATGGTGCCCGTTTCTCCTCCACAACGTGACCTACTGTACCTCGGCAACGTGTGGATCGACCTAGCGGATTGGAACATACATTCGCATCGGGTCAGCATCATTAACAGCACTGCCCACCCTAGTCATGACCTGTGGGACTTTTTTGTGCAACTGGGTGCGCACGCAAAGATAATCTAATATTAACCCTCGCAATGGTACCATCCCCATGTTGTTGGATGCGTAGCAAAGCAGTGCAAATGGTATTCGGAGAGGGGCCAGACAATCTTCCAATGAGTCGAAACAGATACTTCAATTCTCTAGAAAGGCAGCGATGTTTAGCAACGATGCCTGCGGAGGCACCACGTGAATGATCTTTTCTCCTGTGCCGTCTGACTTTCACTGCACAAGCCTACACTAGTAGGCCCATGTCGTGGTAAGAGTGAACTCTTTCGTGGGATGAGACCCGAAACAATCCCTTTCCCGATTCAGTGTATCAGTTTTGTCTTTGAATGTGAAACCCTTGTTATGTTTGTAGACGGAATTTAGAACCCGCGATGCTTTAAACAGCCTTGAAATACATAGTGGGCTTCATTCCTCAAACAAGCTTCTAGACGAAGGATTTCCTGGCTACCCCCTCCGGTCCACACATCGTCCACTTTGCGTATATATGCAGGAGGTGAAACTCCCGCTTGCATCTTCTTCATTCGTCTCACTCAAGCGCACGGCATCGTCTCAGAAGAATCGGCAGTTAAACTCGCTCAACCGGAGGTCGCTCTCGTCATCGACAGAACAATCACAGTAAAGGCAAGATGAAGACTTTCCTCACTATGCTCATGTTATCCTGTGTACTTTCTTCTGCTTTGGGGAATACGCTGGGAACTGCTACTGGCTGCTCTACAGCGATCGCTGCTGGGCTGACCAACCAGCTCATTGCAGAGTTGAACGCGCTAGGCACTTCATTCTCGCCTCTCGATGACACGGCGCGATTCATCTGCACGTCGCCTTGCGTGCCGGCGCTGCAGACGGCGGCGCGGGACTCGTTGGCGTCTGCAACGGCATCGGTGGGAGACTTTATAACCCTCAACTCTGCATATCGCAGCAGCGCGCAGCAATACTTGCTGTACAGGTGGTGGCTCAATGGACAGTGCGACATTCCGCTGGCCGACCCTCCAGGCACCTCGCGGCACGAGGATGGGCTCGCTGTGGATACAAACTTTTACGATTTCTGGAACTCAGTGCTGCCCAGCTACGGATGGGTGTGGGCTGGATCTGCAGACGTGTTCCACTTCCGGTATGCTGGGGCCGGGGCCATGGAAGGGGTTTCGGCTCAGAGTCTGTTGGCATTCCAGAGGCTGTGGAATCGGAACAACCCTTCCGATCCGATCACTGAGGATGGCATTTACGGAGATAATACGGCAGCTAGGCTTTTCAATGCGCCGGTCGACGGTTGGTAGGGAGTTTACGCAGTGAGCGTGTAGGGGTATGTTTCTGTTTGCAGGATTCTGGCTGTTCAGTTACAGTATTTTCCGTTGTTTTGCTTACGTATAGATACAGTCGCATGAGTCGCGCACGTATGTAGACGTAGTTGCGTCAAGAGACAGCATAAAAGGCAGCATGGCCCAGGCGAGAAACACTTGCCAAGAGGAGAAGTCGCAATTATGGTAGGTTGACTGAGGACTCTGAGATATCACGCGGAAAAGGTGCACTGGCAATAGAAGTTGAGTCGGAGGATGAGGCCGTTTTCCGGGACAAATGCGGCGTTTCAATCGAGATTGCATCTGTGCTCACCGGATATCTGCCCCTCCAATCACAGCCTGCTGTTGTCCACGTGTGCACAGCCCCTTTTCGCACTTGGTCGACGAAGCCCTGAGGGTTATGCAGCGATGTGCTCTCCACCCAGCTCCGCCGAAAGCCTTATCAATGCCCCGGCCCCGTCCGCCTGCTCCCTCCCCTGTCCGTTCCCTTCCCCACCCCCTCCCCCTCTCCACCGCCTCCCATCCTGCCACAATGGCATTCATCGGCACTCCCCTGCTTCCGGCTCGCCCGTCCTATGCTACGCGACCTGCCTTGGCCCCTCGTCGCGGCTTACACCACCGCACGCGTCCCGCGCGCCTGGCGCGCAACACCATTTCGGCCAATGCCCGCGAAGTCACGGACGCCGAGCTCGAGGTCGCCCTTCAAGCGAACGAGCGCCCTTTGGTTGTTGATTGCTACGCAGGTTCGTCAGTCACTTATCTCTCTCTTGCTTCCCGGCCCTTTCATTCACCTCCTCGCCTGTTATTTGCAATCACTGCTCACACATGACACCCACAACCGCATGTTCTAAACTGCGTCCCAGATTGGTGCGGCCCATGTCGCTTTCTCGTGCCGCACCTGGATGAGATCGCGACCAATTACGCTGATCGCGTCGACGTGCTCAAGCTCAACACAGAAAAGTACCCCGAGCTGGCCTCCGCGCTGCTCATCCGTGGGTAAGTTAAGAGGGCAAACACTGCGAGCCTTTGCTCGCACCAATACTACCGCACCGTTTGCCATTTTTGAATTTTTTTGTTTGCTAACTCTTCGCTACAATTTGTCCGCGCCGAAATGTCAACAGCCTCCCAACCCTCTTCTTCATCCGCGAGGGCAAGCTGCAATACCGTATGGAAGGAGCGCTGGAAGCCCCTAAGCTCCGTGAGTTAATCGAGTACACCCTCTTCGACGGCCCTGCGCCTGCGTCAGCCAACTTAACTCCCGACCTGGAAGATGCTGATAAAAACTAGCTTGCGACCGGCACCTCTCTCATCCTATCTGTACAAAAATCTCCAAGACATTTATAACCCCTTCAGCTGCGACATCAAGTCTTCCAGATCTGCCCCGGTGTCCTTGACACGCTCATCCTCATCTGCCTCCTCTACCGTCCTCTCCTCGTAGGCGTACTCCAGACCCTTTGCTACCGCCGCTTGCTTACTCTTTGCAGCTACTGGCGGGTCCCCGGCCGCGTCGTCAACGACGGAGATGCCCCACTCGTTGTCCGGGTGCATCTCCTCTTCTTTCTCGGGCGCTTGTTCCTCGACAACGTGAAGTTTTCTCCGCGCCTCTTCCTTGGCCATGCGCTCCCTCTCCTCCGCCTGCCGCTTTACGCACCACGAGTCGTCGCACGCAGGGTTGGGTTTGAGCGTCATAGTGGGGAAAAAGTCCTTCATCGCCGAGTACCCTAAGTAGTCGGACACATGCCCGAAGCCGAGTAGGCGCTTCAGGGTGGCCTGGATGAGCATCCCCGCGACAATGCCCATGGTGGTAGGCAGGGACGCCGCGCACACGCCCTCGCGCTTGAGAGTTTTCTCGTCGATGTCCGAGGCCACGACGAGCGGCGGGGCGCAAGAAAAGCAGGCCAGGCGGCCCGGGACGATGAGCTGTATGTGACCCGAGACGGCGTCCTCGCTGACACCGCTCTCGATCCATGTTTGCGAGAGCTCGTTGCACGCGGCGTTGATGGTGTTGCGGGCGGCGAAATTGTCGACGCAGGAGAGGACGAGGTCGACGGGGGAGTCTGCGAGACCGCCCGTAGATAAGAGGTTGAGAAAGTGGTCAAAGTTGTCGAGGGACGTGATGTCGTAGTTGTGGGCGTCGAAGACGACGTCCGGGTTGATGTTGCGCAGTGTTTGGGTGGCGGCGGACACTTTGGACAGGCCGGATTGCTCCGGGCGGAAGAAGAGGCGGTTCATGTTCGCCAGCTCGACCTTGTCGTAGTCGAAGAGGATGAGCTTGCCGATGCCGCAGCGCGTGAGCATCTCGGCGGCGACTGAGCCCACGCCGCCTACGCCCACGACGGCGACCGTGAGCGAGCGGATGCGCTCGTAGTTGGACACGATGCCCATGCGTTTGAGAGCCATGAGGCGCGAGTACGGGTTATCGGAGACGACTTCGCTGCTCATTGCCGGGGCGGCGGGGCCGTTGCGGGCCGTGGGGATGGGGGCGGGAGTGGGGACAGGGAGATTGTGCAGGGCATGGCGGATTCGGATTTTCTGTAGGGTGCGGGATCAAGCGGTGAATTGGTTGGATGGGGTTTAGTGGGACGAAAGCGGGGGGGGCGGTAGGAAGTGAAAGTTAGTTTATCTGGAGTGTCTGTAGTCGTTTCTCACAAGCAGTAGGGAAAACATACCTGATCGGGAGAAAGAGAAGCTTTGGTCAGCAGAGCGTCTGCATCAGCGAGAAATGAGTCCATTGCTCTTTTTGGTTGTTGCAGTCGTCGTCGATGGGGTTGGTGATGGTGACGGAAAGCAGGATGACGGGAAGAGTGGGAGAGGTGGACGGCGAGGCGATGTCACCTGGGGGCAAGCGTAGCAGTGATAATGGCGGCGGGATTACATGCCCTGCTGTGTTTATCAATCATCTTCGCCTATGATAATTGCAGCCAATCAATGGCTGGATCAAGGAGTGCTGACGAGGCGCTCTCTATGCGCAGCGCAGAATTGGCATGTTGACGTCACGCTGACATTCTTCTTCTCTTTGAAGAACAAGATGCTCCGGTCTTCTTCCAGACCGTAACATCAAGCACTTTGGCCATCATCAGTATGCCGTACTGAACACTAGTTTACAAGAGGCACCAAAAGAAAAGATCAGATAAACAATTCCCAACCACTCCTATTCCGCAATCCTCAACATGAGCGCCTCTTCCCCGTCAACAGCGACCCTCTCCAACCGAACCAGCAGCTCCCTAGCGCCCTTGGGAAACCTCGTATACCTCGGCCAGCTACTGAGCACCTTCTTAGCCGCGAGTTCCTCCGCCATCTGAATCCACTGCCCGAGCTCCCTGGACACGATGCGCATGCGCAAGCTAAAGAACGCCTCGCACAGCACCATAGCCAGCACGGAGCCAATCATAGTAACGACGACGTATCTTGACACGTTAGAAGATCGCACCTGTGTGACGCGCGCTTCCACGAGCAGCGGCGGGTGTTCAAACCCGGAGGGGTGGCCCAACCCCGCGACTCTGACGAGCGACGACAGCGCGAGCTTTTCCCCGACCCGCATCCCCGACCCGCGCGCGCGGTTGAACGACACGGCGTTGAGCAGGCAGTGTCCCATGTCGGCCCACAGTCGGTCCGGGCGCGGCAGCGGGACGCGGCGGCCCTCCACAGGCACCGAGCCGGTCATGACGCGGTTGTTGTCCACGCTCCAGTAGTGCACGGTGGCGTGCCCCGCGGTAAGCGTGAAGAAGTCGGCGTGGGGCGAGAGGTCGGGGCCGGCGACGGTAAAGCCGAACACCCCGGAGGCGCACACTTTCAGCGAGATACTGTAGTTGAAGTCGGACGCGCACCAAACGCTGCAGCGGTCGTCTGGGGCCGGCGCGGCGACTTGGCGCAGCACGACGACGGGGTTGCGCGTGACGTAGACGCGGCTCTCGAGGTCGTTTTGCGGATGACCGGGGCGTGCGGGGTTGGGGCTGCTGTGGTGCGGTTTGCGTCCGGCGTGTGCGAAGCGAGTGTAGAAGGCGGTGGGTTTGCGCGGGACGGCCCATGCGCCGTCTGGGAGGCGGTAGGCGACCTCTCGATACGCGGTGTCCGGGGTGGCGCTGGAGGCGAGGACGAGGCCGGAGGTGTAGTAGCTGGAGCGGTTGAAGCCGCCGCCGAAGCTTGCGAGCTCGACAGTGGAGAGACTTTGGGTGGTTTGGCGAATGTCGTTGCGACCGGTGGCGAGCGTGCCCAGTAGGACCTCCGGGGTGTTAACGAAGAAGAGAGTGATGAAGCCGCCGACGAAGATGTAAGGCCAGGAGAAGGAGCGGCCCGTGCGCGTGTCCATCTCGATAATGGAGCAGGTGATGAGGTCGAGCGGGACGCGGACGTGGGTGGCGAGCAGGCCGATGAGGTTGACGAAAGCGTCGTTGAGGGCGACCAGGCCCCGGGCGAGGACCTGGCCCGCAATGGGGAGGACGATGCTTAGCGGGAGGAAGTGGGAGCCTAGGAGGTAGTACACGACGAAGAAGAGGGTGGAGAGAAGGCTGAGCAGTGTGCTGAGCTTGAACTCGCAGCGTGGACGCGGGGCGGAGGGGGTGGTGTCGGCAGGCATTGCGAGGTGGGGGGACTTCCGCGAGGT